GCACAGTTATTTTTAGAACGTTATAATATTCAAAAATCGCATATGGCATTTCTTCGTTTAGAAAATCGTTTGCATGTACATGGTCAATTAAGTGCAATTAAAAGACAAAAAGCAAATCTAATAGTTAATAATGATAATTGTGCTAATATTCTCGCTGCAGTTGAAGTAAATCCATATGTCAGTCAACGCGAATTAGCAAACACATCTGGACGATCTTCAATACAGCGGATTTTGAAAAAATAAAAATTTCATCCGCATCGTTTGATTTTGACTCAGGAAACTGATTATGAACATCGTGTAATATTTTGCGAGTGGATGCGTGATGCCATGATAAATGATTCATTTTTGCAAAATATTCTTTTTTCTGCTGAAGCAACATTTACTAAGGTGAATCCAAAAATGTTATTTAGAGTTAAGCAAAGTTTTGTAAAAAGAATTAATAAGTGTTTAGATGTTAATGGTCAACAGTTCGAACATTTAATAAAATAAAAAAAACAGAAAAACTATGAATCTTATTTAATTTATCATTAATTTCAATGCACTCTACATTAAAGTTTAAATGTTTATAACTTTTGATAGAAGCATTTTCCAAAGAAATGTTTCAGACAAAATTTACTTTGTTTTTCCTCGTAGAATTCAAATATGTAACATTTTACAGGGAGTCCCATTTAAAACTTTGAAGTTATCCATCGCTCCTCTTCAAGAGAGGACGGGGGTGGATTTTTGTTTACGTAATTAGAAAGATCCCTCGAATATATGAAACTTTTTCATAAACAACTTTTTGATAGGACAAATATTTTTAGAGAGCTTGTAACACTTTACGTGGGCCACCCTGTATATATGTATATATATATGTACATACATATGTTATACACTGTAAAAGATAAAATATCAATTTTAACTTAAAGACGTATAGGATTTTTTGAAACATGCAAAAATGTTAATTTTAACGTCTAAGTTAAAATTGACATTTTATCTTTTGCAGAGTGTGTATGCATATATGTATATGTGTATATATAATGTGTAGATGAGGTATATGTATACATATGTGTATCTATGTATAGTATACCTATACATATAATATGTATATGTATATACATTTATACATTAGATGGCGACGACGATGACGATAACAATAATAATAATATAATCTAAAAATACATACGAATGCGATGCTTTTCGAATATTAGTCGAATTTCTTCAACTTTTCTTTCGCCTCTTCAATGGCGGCAAGAACTGCAGAGGATTTCGTTGTGCAAGATACGCAGGCGCGCTCGCACTATACACCCACTCGCATCGATTTGAATTGACTCGCCGAATTTTCGTTAAATAAGGAATGCTGGAAAATTTTACGCAATGTCCATTGGCAATTAGACAATTGCTGTCCGAGTTAGTATATATTATATATTGAGAATGCAAGTGGAGCGCGCACTGCACGAATTAAACACTCGCTGTTACGCGGTCGAATATACGCGCGAGAGGGAACGAGTTTTTTTATCGTCGAAATTGCTTGAAATATCATATACGACGACAATCAACGATGGAGGGTCAAAAAGCGGAAGCTATGAACTTGGTTATCGTTGGCAGCACACAAGGTCAGCGAATGAACTTTGAATGCGTCTAGAATTCAGTTAGAATTATATGTGTATATAATATACGCGTAGATAGTTATGGTGACTGAAGCGATTTTCCCACATAAACGACGTATGTACATACGTTAATGATTAATATTTCTTAATGTGTCGTTTTCTTTCTCGCTGACTTGTGTCTCATTACACGTACTATATACATACATGCGTATGTATAACGGAGCGTATACTGAACTAAACGGTCGTATTTTACATCTATCGCCGGCCGGGCCGGAAAAGAACGAAACGGAACGGAGCAAAGCGGAGCGGTGCAGAGTAGTGCGTAGCGATGCGCGCCACATGCTTTCGTATATCGCGCCTTGTTCGCTGTTACCTTCGTCGATCCCCACGCGCTTGCGGTCCGACCAGTCTCGACTCCGCACTGCTCCGCACTGCTGGTTTACGGCGAGAGAAAGGAGCAGTATGTGAGCGATTATATACATATATATACCAATTCTTAATTCCCTTACCGCGATTTCGACAAAGTTTCGCAATCGCAACATGTTTTACAACAGCTAGAATGATTGTTTTTCTTACAATACCAATTTTGTATACAATAGGATTAATTTATACTCGATCAAAATTGATTGAAGAGATAACGATATACATATAATATAGCGAACGAGTCATCGAGCGCGATAAGCAACGAAGAAATTTATGTTATTTATACAAGTGTTATGTTACAATACCATATATTCGCGCGTAGTTGATTCTTATTTAATTTGAAGACAGCCTGCAAATATCTTCGACAAAGAATCCATAAAAAAAAAGAAAACTGAGCATCAATTGCCTTAATTTTGTTTGCGAATGTAAAACCGATATATATATATATGTGTATTATTATATGTTCTAGCTCGCACTGATGTAACTACGTACGCCAACGCCACTGATGATAATAATTTTCTTACGTAAATACACATAACAATGTAATTGTTGATAGATGAGTCGGTGGTTTCTTTTTTTATTCTTTTCATTAAGTTTATATACATATACTTACATACGTATACACGCGGCATATATATATATATATATACATACATATGTATTGTATAGACGTCACGCGCGGGTGCACGCGCTTGACCGCGATCAATCGTAAAAATAGCTGGTGAGTTTTTTTAATATATTCATCGATTGATCAATCGCAACAGCTTTGCACCCCGTAAAGGTTGCATTTGCCCATAATGCAATTGATCAATTGATGAATTAAGAAACTAACTCGCCATTAGACGAACATATATAATTTTAGTTGAAATGCAATGTTATACGTTTTACACCTGCATGTATGTACATATGTTTGGAATGAAAAGAATCAAGACCAAGTAAAGAATAATTAATCTAATTTCTAATCCGCTAGCTAATCGGAGCTAATAGGTCTCGTTGAACATCCGAAATTTTGACGTTGTCAAAATATTATAATCAAATATATAATATTACGAAGAAAGGTAGTTGCGAGAAAAAGGAAATGAAAATAATAAATAATATATGCAGGATCGCGAGACTAATCCTGGTACTTACATATAAACAAAAGCAATTGTTATTGCAGTTTTGCATTTTAATCTCGCATGCCACAGTCTCTTATCCCACATTTGCCTCGATGTACATTGCTGCTTCATTTTTAATATACCTTGTTTCTTCATTGAAATAAACAACAAATGTAGTCTATAAATGCACCGCCTAATACCAATACCACACTTATAAATTTAACCATCGACGACGAATCTACCTAATTTGCTGTGTGCTGGCTCTAATTATAAGTTATTATAAATTTAGTTATTATAAATTTATCGAAACTTTGTGACTTTTGATGCATTGCTATATTGATCATTTCTCCTCAATTTGTCCACGAGATCGGAAGCCAACGTAGTTAATATATATATATTAGAGAATAAAATACGATTCCCTGCCTGCAAATCTCTTCGTAACGCTGCTTGAAATCGGTTGTTTTCTTGTCGAATTGAAAATGATCCAGTCTCTCGCAATCTATTAAATGTCAACATAAACACTCTTCGGTTTGGCACTCTTCTGTTTGGAAATCGTCGTGCATATTCTCGCACCGCCTTTAAAGCATTACCGTTGCAGAAACCGTATACAAAAACCATATCAGCATATTCACTATTAGAATACGTACGCGGCATATTGCAAAAGACAAAATTCATCTACTGTTAAAGGCTTTCAAAGAGCGACTGACAAATTCATAACAGAAAGTGGAAAATGTAATCAAATATGTCGGTGCTAGATATGGCAAGAAATGTAAACATTTTTTTTCGATTTCTCTGAAACGGAGCAAAAACGAGCATATGTCTATAGGACTTTTTTTCTTAGTTTTTTACTCCTCTACACGCTCCCGAAGTTTTGCCATTTAATTTGGAAACACCCTGTATATTTGTGTGTGTGTGTGTGTGGGCGCGCGCGCGTATACAGGTATAATGTATCTGCAGTGAGTATCCATTGGATCGACCTTGAGACGTACCGTCCGATAATCCTGCACGTGAAGAGCATTATGAATTAATCATAATTTGTCCGAGTTGTAAAACGACTGTATATGATATTAAAGCGTGTGCATACATATATAAGTACGTTTACGCTCGCTCTCTTGCTAACTCTTGCGGGGCAGACAACCTAGACCTAGAATAAGCCGAAAAAGATAGAACAGACAAAGAGATTTTATCTCGTCCTTTATTTAATATATCAAAGTATCTGCAAATGTGTGTTTAATCAATGCAATTATACAATTTCTGAATCTTATAGCAGGCATAACGACGGTGTCGTGACATCACGTATGTTGTAGTGCGCGCGTTCTCGACGTCATAGTCATTATACCTACCACGTACATTACGCAATCACAGCCGCACTCTTTGTCCCGTTTTTGACAAAGACATACAATTAGACGTACATACATGTCTTTTATGTATAATCGTATTATATTCGCACACATATATATATATATATATATATATATACACACAACCATAATTGTAAAATCATAATGCATAGTTGGCATCGTTTTTTTCTCCTAGTGTGTGCATGACCGATCGAATTGTATGAGACCTACTTCGCTATCGAGATCCATATTAACTTTACGATACGACTTTAGACGGATGATGTTTTATGAACCCAAGTGAGAGACAATAAGATATAGATATCACAAATGCACACAATCTCGCAAACAGCTTTTATATCTGCAATAACTCTGGAGTAGGAGTACAAACATTTATATCACATGCATATCATAGTATATTCTTTTTTAATAACGGCTCATTCGAATCTCATTTTATCTTCAAGTTTGTACTGCTTAACATCAATTTTTTTATA